TGTTTCTGGGTGTTTTGGGGCCGTTTCTGGGTGTTTTTGGGGTGTTTTTGGGGTGATTTTTCCCGTTTCTGGGTGTTTTTGGGGTGTTTTTGGGGTGTTTTTAGGTGTTCCTGGTACCCACCGGCAGTGCCTGACCACGCACTCACTGCTGCAGTATTTGGGGTGTTTTGGGGCCGTTTCTGGGTGTTTTGGGGCCATTTTTGGGGTGATTTTTCCCGTTTCTGGGTGTTTTTGGGGTGTTTTTGGGGTGTTTTTGGGTGTTTGTGGTACCCACCGGCAGTGCCTGACCACGCACTCACTGCTGCAGTATTCCTCATCCCAGTCCCCGCTGGCCACGGGCGCGTTCCCGCATCCCGCACGGATGCAGCGCGCAGGGGGGGGGTCCTCGGGTACCAGCTCCACTGCGAGGCCTGGGGGGGACTCAGCCTGGGGGGGGGGAAGCATCGGGTACCATTGGGTCCCACTGAACCCCATTAAACCCCATTGAGCCCCATTGAACCCCACTGGATCCATTGAGCCCCATTGAATCCCATTGGGTCCCATTGAACCCCATTGAATCCCATTGGGTCCATTGAACCCCATTGAACCCCACTGGGTCCCATTAAACCCCATTGAACCCCACTGGGTCCTATTAAACCCCACTGATTCCCATTGGGTCCCATTGAACCCCATTGAACCCCACTGGGTCCCATTAAACCCCACTGATTCCCATTGGGTCCCATTGAACCCCATTGAACCCCACTGGGTCCCATTAAACCCCATTGATTCCCTCTGGGTCCCATTGAACCCCATTAAATTCGTCCAAAATCTCCCCAGATCCAAAATTTCCCCCCAAATTCCTGCAAAATCCCCCAAATCCACACTTCCCCCAAAATTCCTCCAGGATTCCACCAAATTCCCTCAAAATCCCCAGATTCACAATTTCCCATAAATTCCTCTGAAATTCCCCCAAAATTCCTCCAAAATCCCCAGAACCCAATTTCCCAAAAATTCTTCTAAAATTTCTCAAAAATCTGCCCAAAATCCACAATTTCCTCCAAAGTTTTTCCAAAATTCCACCAAATTTTCCCTCAAAATTTCTCCAAAATTTTACTAAATCTACAAATTCCCCCAAAATTCCTCCAAAATCCCCACAAAACTCATTTCCCCCCAAATTCCTCCAAATCCCCAAAATATTCCTCCAAAATTTTGTAAAATCCACAATTTCCACAAATTCCTCCAAAATCTCACCAAATTTCCCCCAAATTCCCAATTCCCCAAAACTACTCGAAATTTTCACCCAATTCCCCCAAAATTTTGTGAAACCCATTTTCCCGCAGATTTTTCCAAAATTCCACCAAATTTCCCCCAAAAAATCACAATTCCCCAAAACTCTTTCAAGTTTTCACTCAATTCCCCTCAAATTTTGTGAAACCCATTTCCCAAATTCCTCCAAAATCCCACCAAATTTCCGCAAAACCCCACCAAATTTCCCCCTGAATCCCACTAAGTTTCCCCCAAATCCCACCAAATTTCCCCAAATCCACCAAATTTCCTCCCAAAATCCCACCAAATTTCCCCAAATCCCACCAAATTTCCCCCGAATCCCACTAAATTTCCCCCCAATCCCACCAAATTTCCAAGTTCCCACTTTCCCCAAAACTCCTCCAAAACGTCACCAAATTCCCCCAAAATTTTGTGAAACCCATTTCCCCCAAATTCGTCCAAAATCCCATCGAATTTCTGCAAAAACCCTCCAAATTTCCCCCAAATACCACCAAATCACACTAAAATTCCCCCAAAATTCCACTAAATTTCCCCCAAATCCCACCAAATTTCCCCAAGCCCCACCAGATTTCCCCCCAAATTTCCCGAAACCCCACCAAATTCCCCCAAATCCCACCAAATTTCCCCCAAATCCCACTAAATTTCCCCCAAATCCCACCAAATTCCCCCAAATCCCACCAAATTTCCCCAAAATCCCACTAAATGTCCCCCAAATCCCACCAAATTCCCCCAAATCCCCCCAAATCCCACCAAATTTCCCCAAAATCCCACTAAATTTCCCCCAAATCCCACCAAATTCCCCCAATCCCACCAAATTCCCCCCAATCCCACCAAATTCCCCCAAATCCCACCAAATTCCCCCAAATCCCACCAAATTTCCCCAAATCCCACCAAATTTCCCCAAAATCCCACTAAATTTCCCCCAAATCCCACCAAATTCCCCAAATCCCACCAAATTTCCCCCAAATCCCACCAAATTTCCCCAAACCCCACCAAATTTCCCCAAAATCCCACTAAATTTCCCCCAAATCCCCCCAAATTTCCCCAAAACCCCACCAAATTCCCCCAAATCCCACCAAATTTCCCCCAAATCCCACTAAATTTCCCCCAAATCCCACCAAATTTCCCCCAAATCCCACCAAATTTCCCCCAAATCCCACCAAATTTCCCCAAGCCCCACCAGATTTCCCCCCAAATTTCCCGAAACCCCACCAAATTCCCCCAAATCCCACCAAATTCCCCCAAATCCCACCAAATTTCCCCAAACCCCACCAAATTTCCCCAAAATCCAACCAAATCTCCCCCAAATCCCACCAAATTCCCCAAATCCCACCAAATTTCCCCAAACCCCACCGAATTCCCCCAAAGTTCCCAAATTTCCCCCAACTCCTCCAAGCTTTCACCCAATTGCTCCCCCATTTCCCCCCCCAACTCCTCCCCCTTGCTCACCTCGCTGCCGAACTCCCCCCCCACCATCTCCACCACCTCTTCCTCCACGGCCGCCTCCTCCTCTCCTCCTCCTCCTCCTCCTCCTCCTCCCGCCGCCGCGGCGCCGCCGTCCTTGCCGGGGGCCGCCAGCACGCGCAGGGGGGGCAGGATCTTGATGTGCACGGGGGGATGGGGGGGGGTGGGGGGGGTGGGGGTGGGGGGTGGGGGCAGGGTCAACCTCAACCGCGGCGGCGGGGCCGTGGCGGTGCCGGGCACCGGTTGCTGCATGGCCTGGAGGGGGGGGGGCGCCTGGAGGAGCGCCCCCCCTTGGTTGGGGGGCGGGGGCACCGGCATCTGCTGCAAGGGGGGGGGGTGGAGGCGCGGCACCGGCGGGCGCGGCGGCACCGGGATGACGGCGAGCACCGAGGGGGCCAGGAGCTGCTTGGGGATGAGGATCTGAGTGATGGGGGGAGGGGGGGACGGAGCGGGGTGGGGGGCGGGGGGGGAGGGAGGTTGGGGGGCAGAGGGAGGGGGGGTGGCGGGGGTGGGGCTGGTGTCGGCGTCGGCCGGGTCCGAGGTCTGGAAAGGAAGGGAAATGAATTGGTTATGGGGGGGGGGCACCCCAAAAACGGACCCGTGGGGGGCAAGCAGGAATTGTAGCAATGGGGGGCCCAAAGTGGGAGGAATTCGGCCCAAAATGCGGGGGATTCAACCCAAAATGCATCCATGGTGGGGAAAAAGTAATTGTTGGTAATGGGGGGCCCAAAGTGGGGTGAATTCGGTCCAAAATAGGGGGGAACTCAACCCAAAATGCATCCATGGTGGGGAAAAAGTAACTGTCAGCAATGGGGGGCCCAAATTGGGGTGAATTTAGCCCAAAATGGGGGGGAATTCAACCCAAAATGCATCCATGGTGGGGAAAAAGTAACTGTCAGCAATGGGGGGCCCAAATTGGGGTGAATTGAGCCGAAAATGGGGGGGAATTCAACCCCAAATGGGTCCATGGTGGGCGAAAAGTAATTGCTAGTAATGGGGGGGGCAAATTGGGGTGAATTCCAAATTGGGGGGGAAATTCAACCCCAAATGGGTCCGTGGTGGGCAGAATATAATTGTAGCAAATGGGGGGGCCCAAATTGGGGTGAATTGAGCCCAAAATGGGGGGGAATTCAACCCGAAATGGGTCCATGGTGGGCGAAAAGTAATTGCTAGTAATGGGGGGGCCAAATTGGGGTGAATTTAACCCAAATTGGGGGGAAATTCAACCCCAAATGGGTCCGTGGTGGGCAGAATATAATTGTAGCAATGGGGGGCCCAAACTGGGGTGAATTGAGCCCAAATCCCATCCCTCTGGGGCGCACCAAGATGGCTCGGTAGGCGGCCAGGGCCTTCAGGTATTCCTTCTTGGCGGCCTCCGTCTTCCTCTTGTACACCTGGGCAAGGGGAAAGGGGGGAATCAGATAGAATTCCAGCCAAATTCATCAAATCTGCCAAAAACCCACCAAAATTGGCAAAATTCTCATCCAAATTCATCCAAAATCCCACCAAAATCGGCAAAAATCCCACCCAAATTCATCAAATCTGCCAAAATCCCACCAAAATCGGCAAAAATCCCACCCAAATACATCAAATCTGCCAAAATCACACCAAAAATTATAAAAATTCTCATCAAAATTCATCAAAATCCCACCAAAATTGGCAAAAATCCCACCCAAATTCATCAAAATCCCACCAAAACTGGCAAAATTGCCACCCAAATTCATCAAACCTGCCAAAATCCCACCAAAATCAGCAAAATTCCCACCCAAATTCATCAAAATCCCACCAAAATTGGCAAAATTTCCGAAGACATCAAATCTGCAAAAATCCCACCAAAATTGTCCCAAATTCCGCACCCATTCATCATCAAAATCTCCCCAAATCCCACCAGAATTGGCAAAAATCCCACAAAATTGTACCAAAACCCACCCAAATTCATCAAATCTCCCAGAATTCCACCAAAACTCTCTAATTTCTATGAAATTCTGTCAAATTCCATCAACGTTTTGCTAAACCCAGGAATTCTTACAGAATTCCACAAAACTCTCTAACTTCCATAAATTCTGTATGAATTTCACCCAGTTACCTAAATTTCACTTGAATTTCACCCAAATTTCATCCAAATTTCACACAAATTGCACCCAGATCTCACCAAAATTTTACTGAAAGTTTACCCTAATCACCTAAATTTCACCCTAATTTTACCCAAATTTCACTCAAGTTTCACCTGTATCTCAAATTTTGCTGAAATTTCAACAAAAATTCACCCAAAACTCACCCAAATTTTACCCGTATCTCACCCAAATTGTTGAAATTTGACCTGAAATTCACCGAAATTTCACCTGTATCTCACCCAAATTTTGCTGAAATTTCACCCAAAATTCGCTCAAGTTTTACCCGAATTCTGTTGAAATTTCACCTGAAATTTACCCAAATTTCACCCACATCTCACCTGAACTTCACTGAAATTTTACCTGAATCTCACCGAAATTTCACCCGAATCTCACCCAAATTTCACCCAAATTTCACCGGTATCTCACCCGAATTTTGCTGAAATTTCACCCGAATCTCACCCAAATTTCACCGGTATCTCACCCGAATTTTGCTGAAATTTTCACTCGAATCTCACCCAAATTTCACCGGTATCTCACCCGGATTTTGCTGAAATTTCACCCGAATCTCCCCAAATTTCCCCCCAATTCCACCCGTTTCCCCCCCCGCCCCGGACCTGTTTCTGCTCCTCGCCCAGGCTGTCCCACATGGAGGCCACGATCTTGGAGACCTCCCCGAAGGTGGCGTTGGGGTTCTGGCCCTTGATGGCGGCCTGGGTGTCGCGGAAGAAGAGGGCGTAGGCGGACACCGGCTTCTGCGGCTCGTTGGGGTCCTTCTTCTTCTTGGCCTTCTTGGGGGGCTTCCCCCGGCGTGGGGCGTCCCCGCCGGGGGGCGCTGGGGCCGGTGGGGCCAGCGGGGCCGGAGGGGATGGGGCTGGGGCGGCCTGGGGAAGAGACAAGAGAGGGGGTGAATGGGGGAAATTGGGAAAAATTTAGGGAAGATTTTGAGGGATTAGAAGGAAATGCGAGAAAATGACAAGAAAATTGAAAATTGGGAGAAATTATGAAGAGTTAGAAGGAAATTGGGGAAAATTATAAAAATTTAGAAGGGAATTCGGGAAAATGATGAAAATATAGAAAAAGATCGGGGAAAATTATGAAAAATTTAATGAAATTAGGGAAAATTTTGAGGGATTAGAAGAAAATAGGAAAAAATGACAAAAAAGTTGAAAATCGGGGGAAATTATGAAAATGTAGAAGGAAATTGGGGAAAAATACAAAAATTTAGAAGGAAATTGGGGAAAAAATATGAAAATTTAGAAGGAAATTGGGGGAAATTATGAAAATTTAGAAGGAAATTGGGAAAAAATGATGAAAATTCAGAAGGAAATTGGGGAAATTATAAAAATTTAGAAGAAAATTGGGGAAAAATATGAGAATTTAGAAAGAAATTGGGGAAATTAGAAGGGGATCGGGGGAAATTAGATGGGGATTGGGGAAAATGAAGAAAATTTAGAAGGAAAATAAAAGAACTCAAAGAAAACCAAAAGAAATCAAAAATATTGAGGAAAACGGAAGAAAATAGAAGGAATTTGCAAAAAAAGGAAAAAACGGAGGAAAATTCAAAAAGAAAATTGAAGAAAATCAGAAGAAATTGGGGAAAATGTAAGGAAATGAGAAAATTGAAGAAAATTAAAGCAAAATCAAAGAAAATTGAAGAGAATCAGGGAAAAGTTTTGGCCTTTTTTTTGGTCATTTTTGGCCATTTTGGGGCGGTTTTGGACATTTTTTGGCCATTTCTGGCCATTTTGGGGGCATTTTTGGTCATTTGGGGCCATTTTTGGGCCATTGTGGGGTCATTTTTGGCCATTTTTGGGCCAATTTTGGGCTATTTTGGGGTCATTTTGGGCCTTTTTTTTGTAATTTTGGCCATTTTAGGATCATTTTTGGCCTTTTTAGGGTCAATTTTGGCCATTTTTGGGCCTTTTTTTTTTTTGCCAACTTTGGGACCAATTTTGGATTATTTTTGGCCAGTTTTTGGTCATTTTTGGCCAGTTTTCGGCCATTTTTGGTCATCCTGGGTCATTTTGGGCCAGTTTTGACCATTTTTGGGTCAATTTTGGCCATTTTTGGGTCATTTCTGGGCATTTTTTGGCCATTTTTGGGTCATTTTGGGCCGTTTTGGGTCTCCTCACCCTGCGGAAGTCCTCGGCCTCCTCCTCGTGCCCGGAGCCCGTGGGGGACGGGGGGGGCGAGAGCCGCTCCTCCGGTGACGCCGCCGGTGGGGGGGGTGGTGGTGGCTGCGGTGGGGGGGGGGTGGCGGCGCCCCCGCTAGATCCCGGCGCCCCATTGGCTCCCAGGCTGAGCCCCAGCTGAGAGCTGAGCTCCGATTGGTCGATGGTGGTCAGCTGGCCCGGCGCCAGCAGCCCCCCCGGGCTCAGGGCCGCCATGGGCACGTCGATGGTGACGGGGGGGGCGGCGCTGTACTGGGGGCTCATGGTGTGCTCCAGCTCCTGGGGGACCCAAAAACACATGCTTTCACCCCAAAAAATGCCTTTTTCCACCCCAAAAACGTCTCTGGGGCACCAAAAATGACGTTTTTTTGCTCCAAATATGGCTTTGTGGCATCAAAAACGCCTTTTTTTACCCCAAAATCCCCCTTTTCCACCCCATAAAAGCCTTTGTGCACCCCTAAAACCCCTTTGTGACCCCCAAACCCATTTCCCCCTCTATCCCAATATCCCCCCCATATCTCCATCCCCCCAAATCCCCCGTTATCTCATAAACCCCCTATACCCCCCTATTTCCCCCCCCATATCCCACCCCATTCCCCATTCCCCCCCCATATCCCACCCCATTCCCCATTCCCCCCCCATATCCCCATTCCCCCCTATATCCCCCCCCATACCCCATTCCCCCCATATCCCCGTATCCCACCCCATATCCCTCCCCACATCCCCATTTCCCCCCCATACCCCATATCCCTCCCCATATCCCCCCACAACCCCCATCCCACCCCATATCCCCCCATATCCCACCCCACAGTCCCCCATCCTGCCCCACATCCCACCCCATATCCCCCCATATCCGACTCTATATCCCCCCCATATCCCTCCCATATTCCCCCCATATCCCACCCCATATCCCCCTCCATATCCCCCCCATATCCCACCCCACACCCCCCCATATCCGCCCACATCCCACCCCATATCCCCCCACATCCCACCCCATATCCCCCCATATCCGACTCCATATCCCCCCCATATCCCACCCCATATCCCCCTCCATATGCCCCCCATATCCCACCCCACACCCCCCCATATCCGCCCACATCCCACCCCATATCCCCCCACATCCCACCCCATATCCCCCCCCACATCCCACCCCACATCCCCCCCATTACCATGGCGAGCCCCCCCGCCAGCAGCCCAGCTCCTTGCTCCATGAGCCCGTGCCCGATGCCCACGGCCATGTCCAGCGCCTGCACCCCCCCATAGTGAGCGCTGGGGGGCGGTGGGGGGGGATGGTGGGGGTGATGGGGGGCAGGGAAGGGGGGGTCGGTGGCCACGCCTGCCCCCCCCGCCCCCCCCGGCTCGCCCAGGTCCTCGAAGTGCCCCACGGCCACGGCCAGCGAGGGGTCGGCCTCCAGGGAGATGGGGGGCAGCTCGAACTCCTCGTCGCCCAGGCTCGGCGTGTGGAAGGTCTGTGGGGTGGGATATGGGGCTCAGTGGGGGGGGGGGGGACACACGACACTGGGGGGTGATGGGGTAATGGGGGGTCTATGGGGTGATGGGGGCTGTGGGGGGAATGGGGGTGATGGGGGCTATGGGGTGATGGGGGTCTAGGGGGTGATGGGGGCTATGGGGGGAATGGGGGGCTATGGGGTGATGGGGGCTATCGGGGGAATGGGGGTCTATGGGGTGATGGGGTAACGGGGGTCTATGGGGTGATGGGGGCTATGGAGAGCTATGGGGGGCAATGGGAGTCTATGGGGTAATGGGGGACTATGGGGGTAATAGGAATCAATGGGGTAATGGAGGTCTATGGGGAAATGCGGGTCTATGGGGATAACAGCAGTCAATGTGATAATGGGGGTCTACGGGGCAATGGGGTAATGAGGTAATGGAAGTCTATGGGGTAATGGGGAGGCTATGGGGTTCTATGGGGTAATGGGGGTGATGGGATAATGGGCGTCTGTGGGGCCCGGTGTTATCTATAGGGATCTATGAAGACAATAGGAACAGAAATAGACTGAAGCTCTACGATTCTCTATGGGGCAATGGGGTCTATGGGGCAATGAGGATCTATAGTTGTCTATGGGGTTGTACAGAATCCATGAGATCTGTGGGGCTCGATGAGGCTCTATGGGGTCTATGAAATCTATGAGTTCTATGGGGTCTATGGGTCTCTATAAGGAACTATGGGTCTCTATGGGGTCTATGGGTATCAGTGGGGTGCTCTATGGGTCCTGCCCCCCAACCCGTACCTCGGCGCCGGTGAGGAAGGGGTGCGCGGTGCCGGTGATGGCCAGGTAATTGTCACTGCCCCCTGGGAACTGTGGGGAGCATACTGTGGCACCCTGCCCCATAGCCACCCCATAGCCCCCCATACCCGCCCCATAGCCACCCATACCCGCCCCATAGCCACCCATACCCACCCCATAGCAACCTATACCCACCCTATAGCTGCCCCATAGCCCCACATAGCCACCCACAGCCCCCCATCGCCACCCCATAGCTCCCCATAGCCACCCCATAGCCACCCACAGCCCCCATCCCCGCCCCACACCCCCCATTCCCTCCCCACACCCCCCATCCCCTCCCCACAACCCCCATTCCCTCCCCATACCCCACTCCCGCCCCACACCCCTCATCCCCGCTCCACACCCCCCATTCTCGCCCCATAGCCGCCCCACCCCCGCCCCATAGCCTCCCCATCCCCGCCCCACACCCCCCATAGCCGCCCCATACCCTCACCCCCACCCCACAATCCCCATTCCCGCCCCATAGCCGTCCCATTCTCTCCCCATTCCCGCCCCATAGCCGCCCCACACCCCCCATTCTCGCCCCATAGCCACCCCATTCCCGCCCCATAGCCTCCCCATAGCCGCTCCATACCCCCACCCCCACCCCACAATCCCCATTCCCGCCCCATTCCCTCCCCATAGCCGCCCCATTCTCTCCCCATAGCCACCCCATAGCCTCCCCATAGCCTCCCCCTTCACCTCCATGGCTCCTCCGCCTGCCTCCCTCCGTCCCCTCAGCGCTGCCCCGCCGGAAGCCCGCTCCTTCTCTTCCGGTCCCCTCGCACCATAGAGACGCCCCATAGGTTAACGCGGTTGGAGGACCGAGCTAGAGCGCCGCCCAACAACCGGAAGTGCAGGCCGGAAGCGGAAGCGGAGGGGCGGAGCGTCCGGACCGGAAGCGGGAGGGAGGAGGAGTGGAGTGGAGAGAGCGGACCCCGCGTCATGGCGCGCCACGGACGTCGGACGGGAACGTCATCGGCGGCGACGGTGGGGGGGGGGCTATGGGGGGGGTGGGGGGCTATGGGGGGGGCTATGGGGGGGGTATGGGGGGACACTATAGGGGGCTATGGGGGGGGTGTGGGGCGGGTATGGGGGGCACTATAGGGGTCTATGGGGGGGATATAGGGGTCTGTGGGGGGGGTATGGGGGGGATATGGGGCAGTATGGGGGGGATATGGGGGTCTATGGGGGGGATATAGGGGTCTATGGGGGGGTGTGGGGGGCACTATGGGGGGGGTGTGGGGAGGTTTATAGGGGTCTGGGGGGGTATGGGGGTCTATGGGGGTGCAGTATAGGGGGCTATGGGGGGGTATGGGGGTCTATGGGGGGGTATGGGGGGGTGTGGGGGGCACTATAGGGGGCTATGGGGGGGGTGGGTGGGTGTTTATAGGGGTCTGGGGGGGTATGGGGGTCTATGGGGGGGCAGTATAGGGGGCTATGGGGGGGTATGGGGGTCTATGGGGGGGTGTGGGGGGCACTATAGGGGGCTATGGGGGGGTGTGTGGGGGGTATGGGGGGGATATAGGAGTCTGGGGGGGTATGAGGGGCACTATAGGGGGCTATGGGGGGGTGTGTGGGGGATATGGGGGGGATATAGGGGTCTGGGGGGGTATGGGGGGCACTATAGGGGGCTATGGGGGGGTGTGGGGGGGTATGGGGGTCTGTGGGGGGGATATGGGGGTCTATGGGGGGGTATGGGGGGCACTATAGGGAGCACTATAGGGGGCTATGGGGGGGTGTGGGGGGGGTATGGGGGGGAATATAGGGATCTGGGGGGCTATAGAGGGCGCTATAGGGGGCTATGGGGGGGTGTGGGGGGCACTATAGGGGGCTATGGGGGGTGTGGGGGAGTATGGGGGGGCACTCTAGGGGTCTGTGGGGTGTGCGTGGGGGGTATGGGGGGATATAGGGGTCTGGGGGGAGGTATGGGGGGCACTATAGGGGTCTATAGGGGGTCATGGGGGGTGTATGGGGGTCAATGGGGGGATATAGGGGTCTATGGGGTATGGGGGGGTTAAAGGGGGGTGTATGGGGGTCAATAGGGGGGATATAGGAGTCTATGGGGGGGTTATGGGGGGAACTATAGGGGTCTATGGGAGGTATAGGGGCACTATAGGGTTTTATGGGGGGGTATGGGGGTCTGTAGGGGGTATAGGGGCACTATAGGGGTCTATGGGAGGGTATGAGAGTCTATGGGGGTACTATAGGGGTCAATGGGGGGGTATGGGGGTATAGGGGAGATATGGGAGGGTATGGGGTAGCTATGGGGCAGTATAGAGGGGCTATGAGGCAGCATAGGAGGGATATAGGAAAGTATAGGGAGATATGGGGGTGTGGGGCATTATACGGGGGATATGGGGCAGCATAGGGGGGGTATGGGGCATTATATGGGACTATGGGGCAGTATAGGGGGCTTTGGGGGGGGTATGGGGGTACTATAGGGGTCTGGGGGGGGGTATGGGGCGGTATAGAGGGGGTATGGGGGTCTATGGGGCAGTATAGGGGGGCTATGGGGCAGTATAGGGGGAAATGGGGCATTATAGGGGTCTATATACGGGCTACGGGGCGCTATAGCGTGGATAGGGCGCACTATAGGGACCTATGGGGGGTATATGGGGTTGTACGGGGGATGTGGCAGAATATAGGGGGCCTATGGGGTGATATGGGGGCCTATAGCGGAGGTGTAGGGGCCTATTAGGGCTCTATGGGGGGGTTAGGGGCGTATAGGGCATGTACTGGGGGGGATAGGGAGCTATAGGGGGGGATTTGGGGGCTCTATGTGGGGTACATGGAGCTATGGGGGATATAGAGGTCTATGGGGCACTTATGGGGGCTTAAGGGGGATATAGGGGCTATATGGGGGATATAGGGGCTGTATGGGCAATATAGGGCGATGAAAGGAGGATACACGTTGCTATAGGGCACTTATGGGTCAATATAGGGGGGTGCAGGGGGGATATGGGGGGCTATAGGGGTCATATGGGGGCCTATAGAGGAGCATGGGGGGATATAGGTGGGTGTTGGGACCTATGGGGGGGACATAGGGGGCTTATAGGGGGTATATAAGGGTCAATAGGGGGGGATATGGGGGTCCATGGGGGGGATATGGGGGTCTATAGGGGGATATGGGGGTCCATGGGGGGTCTATAGGGGGTACATAGGGGTCCTTGGGGGGGATATGGAGGTCTATAGGAGTCTATGGGGGGGCATACAGGGTCTGGAGTTGGCTCCGCCCCCTATGTGACATCATACCTCCCTCCATAGGAACGAGAGCTCTGATTGGCTGATGGCTCGTCCTGGCTCCTGTGACGTCATCGGCAGGCAGAGGTGAGGATGGGTGGCCAAGGGTTGGCCAATGGGTGGCCAAGGGTTGGCCAATGGGTGGCCAATGGGTGGCCAATGGGTGGCCAAGGGTTGGCCAATGGGTGGCCAAGGGGTGGCCAATGGGTGGCCAAGGGTTGGCCAATGGGTGGATGGGTGGCCAATGGGTGGCCAAGGGTTGGCCAAGGGTTGGCCAATGGGTGGCCAATGGGTGGCCACGGGTTGGCCAATGGGTGGCCAATGGTTGGCCAAGGGTTGGCCAATGGGTGGCCAAGGGGTGGCCAATGGGTGGCCAATGGGTGGCCAAGGGTTGGCCATGGTCAACGTTGGTCAAGACCCACCAAAACGTCCCATTTTCCCCCAAAATTGAAGGGGTTTTCTCCTTTTTCAACCCATTTTCACCCCCAAAATGTGTCTTTTTGGGGGCAAAATGTCCCCTTTTCCTCTCTCTGTTACCAAAAAGCTCAAATTTGGTTGAAACCCCCTCAAATTCGGGGCGTAAAGGGAAATTTTGGGGGTGGTTTAACAAAAAACGGTAGTTTAGGAGGCGGCAAAATGGGTAAAACGGGCTTTTCAGCCCAATCTTGATGCTGGTTTGGGGAGGAAGAGGGGCTTTTGCTGTCAGAAACGCCAAGAAAAGGGTTTTTTTTTTGCAATATTTGCTTAAAAAAATGTGGAATTTTGGTAAAAAACAAGTAATTTGGGGGGGGTTCAATGGATTTTTAGTGTTTTTGCTGAATTTTGTAGTGAATTGCATGAATTTTAGAGTGAATTTGCTGAATTTGTAGTGAATTTAAGGCAATTTTAATGAAAATTTAAGGAAATTTTAATGAAACTGAGGATTCTTTACAGTGTTATTTGCTGAATTTTCAGGGAATTTGATGAATTTTGGGTCAAATTTGGTGACTTTGAAGGGAATTTGCTGAATTTTAAGTGAAATTTTTGGTGCTTTGGGACAGTTTGCTGAATTTTCGCGTAAATTCCCCGCATTTTGGAGTGAATTTGACGAAATTTGAGGGAATGGCATGAATTTGGAGGTGGATTTGGTGAGTTTTAGTGAATTCTGCTTCATTTCCTCCCGAATTTAACCAAATCCTGCCCCAAATTCCATCCAAATTCCGCATTTTCAATGCTTTCCCCACGCTTTCACCCCCCAAAAGGGGGAATTTGGGGACTTTTTGAGCCCGTTTTCCTCAATTTCAGCGATTCCAATGATTTGGAACCAAATTTCCATCCAAATTGTGAGGTTTTCTGCCCAAATTTGACCCAAAATTTGAATTTTGGCGTGGTTGGGGCTGCTTTGAGCCATTTTTCTGCTTGAAAATGGCATTTTTTAGGGGTTTGGGGGAGAATTTTGACCAAATCTGTCATTTTTGGGGACGAGTGAGGAATTTTCCACCTTTAATCCCCCCAAAATGGGCAATTTTGGGGCCATTTCCTCCTTTCAAACCCTCTTTTTCCGGGCTTTCCCCCTCAATTTTGCCCCCAATTTCCCCCAAAACAGGTTAAAAAAGGCGTTTTCAGTCATTTTGCTCACAAAAAAGACCATTTTGGGGGATTTGGGTGCCGTTTGCAGGCGTTTTTTGGGCAGAAATGCGTGCTTTTGAGGCCTTTTTCCACCCAAATTCCCTCAAAAAATGGCGAATTCCGGAACTTTCCCCCCCTTCCCCCATTAAAAACTCCATTTTGAGGAGGGTTTTGGGGGAAAACAGTCCATTTTGGGGAGGGATTTTGATAAGAAA